AAGGAAGTTAAACTTTGAAGCTTTTTCTTCAAAATTAATGCATTTCTTTCCTTTTTTTTCAGTTTTAAGTATTTTTTATGTTTAATTACATTTATATCAAAAATTGCTAGGAACTAAAGCAATTAAGGTAGGTCTAGCTGTCCTTTACATCCATAAACGTTATATGTCAGTGGAACAAATGGAGTGAGCTTTGAGCGTTCCACGATTTTTCGAGACTATACGCGGGCTTCCTATACAAGCCTATATGTATGTTTGTCAAGAAATTTTTGGATGAAATACAAACCGCACAACTTCAAAATCGCATAAAAATAATCTGCATAAAAAGAGACCTTACAGTATATCTACTACTATGAGTGGTCTCAGTTTGAGTTTGGATCAGATCTTCAGAACGTTTCTTGAGTGGTCTAATCAAGATATATTGGACTCCATTTCTCAACTGTCCTAGTCTGGCTAAACATATAATGGGTATAAATAAAAACTCTTAATATTCACAAGATGGAAATAATTTTCAAAATTATCACATGATGAAAATAATACATAAAGATATTAAAGTAGCACAAAAATGAAATTAAAGTATAGCAAATTTGCTCTCAAAACAAGATAAAATTAACTTCAATTTATCAAATGATGTCATAATATGTTGAAATGTGTATTGTAAATGTAAATAATATGTAGTAATTATTGAAATATTGTAGTACAGTATACTGCAAACTAATGTCAAAACAAGTTTAAATTTAATATTTGAGATCAAAGCTGTATTATGAAGTATTATATTTAGAATTGCATTATTATATTAAAATTACAAACTCAAAATTACATCTAAAAATGCTGTTTGAGTGATTCTTGAATTTAAAGTAAAATTTCTAATATGCAATAAGTGACATCCTTGAAATGATTAATTTTGAAAATTTCGTTATTTGTTTTATATAATAAAAATATTAAAATAATTTTGTACATTGAAAATCATCATAATGTTTTAAGTTACAAAAAATAAAAACAAACGAGATACAAGTAAACTTCATATTAGAAAGTACTGAATTGTGAACTTTTCTGTGGAATGTTGAAAATACATCTTTTTACTTTTCAAGATGCTCATACTTAACAAAGTTTAATTTATATAGCCTATAATAAACATTTAAAAGCAGGCAGCATGAATTAAAAAATTTTAGTTTTAGTATTTTTAAATGTTAAAATTAGTTAAAATGCTAGTTTGTTTTTGAAACTCTTGTCAACCAGACATTATGAATACAATACAATATCTGAATTGTACTGCAATATTAGTACAATATTATGGAAATTTGAAACATCTATATCTGGGGATAATTTTGAATAATAATTTTCTGATATGTTCAAAAACCTTAAGAAATGGTTTCTTCCAGTAATAAAATATTTGAAATGAAATTTTTGATTATTTAAATCAGTTAGAATTGTTCATCAAAAGTTAAATAACTTTTACTAAAAAAATTACAGGTGAAGATTGCTGACTAATTTTCAGCATAAATATGTTTATCATCAACAAAAATAATGCTTGAATTTAGCACCATATCCAAAAAGATGAAAAAAAAAACAAAAAAACAAAAAATTGCTTAATTCTGAAAACCAAATAAAATTTTAATTTAGTAATGTTTCCATTATTCAATAAAAGTTTAATTTGGTTTCCAGAATTAAGCATTTTTTCTCATCTTTTTGCTTATTATTTCAATCATGACATTTTTTTTCTCAATTTCAATAAAAAATTCTATACCTTCTTTATGTAAAATGCTTACATAACACTTTATTTTGTTATTAATGTACACAAGGATATTTTGGTGTAGAATAAAACATCATTATAGTATATTGTGTTTTTTTTACTATTGGTGCATTTAAAAAATTTTTTATATGATAAATTTTGTTTCCTGCTTCTTCCTATTGATCTTTTTGATCTTTTTCTTCTAGATTTACTGCATTTATCAGATGTTGGGCATCTCAAGCATGATCTCTGAAGAGATTATTCATTCATCCAGATAATTCCCAACTTTTACAAAAAATTCTTTAAACTATTGTTCAGTTCATTTCCTACAAGCAGTTTATTTGAAAATTTGACTATATTTAGAAAATTACATTAAAATGATTGGTTTATTATTATTTTATTTTGTTTAATAAACTAATAAGCACAGCTTGTCACATTTTAATCAGAATTAGTTTAATTATTAAGTTATTTTGTTTTGATTGATTTGTTAAATTTTTTGTAATTTTTGTGAATTTATATGATTAAATATAATTGGTTTATACACCTCAGAAAGGATTTGTACTTTTTATCAAATAAAACAAAATAATGGGTTTGCACATCTTTGTAAAACTAAAGCTTATGGAATAAGAGATATGAGTATTGACTACATTCCTATTGATAGTCCTAATATCAAAACTTTATTTTTAGTATTGATATATTGAAATACTGATAGATTTTCTACCATATATCAGTTAAAAATTTAAATGCAATAAATGTTTTCTGTTCTTGACAGTTAACTTTCCTCATTGAAAACTTTAATAATGTTAAATAAAGGATAATAAAACAATAAATAATACTTAAACAATGATTTATTTACAATACAGAATGAAAACAACAGAGAATATATATGTTGTAGGTATCCTCAATGTTTAAGTATGCAGCCACTAAAAAATTCTTCTACTAGGTAACAAGAGAGAAAAGGCTAGAATTTAGTGAAATAACCTAAATTGGCAATGCAAATTGGAAGTGTGCTGAATGAAAAACATGAATGTGCATGATTGGCAGCATGTTTGATGTAATAACTTTTATAGTCCAGATAGATTTTTTGATATACCATGTTAAAAAATTCATAAAGTGTGATTTAATTTTATGAGCTCTATGACAGCTTTTCTTTTCCACTAGACTTATTACACCATCAAGTCTAGCAGAAAAGAAAAGCCATCATAGAGCTCTTAAAATTGAATACAAGATTAGACAAGAAGCATATTACAGAACTCATAAAGTGGGAACTACCTGTATATAAATTTTTCTTTATGTGAACTTAACTGTTGGATTTTGGAATTTTATAAAAGAAAACATTAATACTTTGCTATTTCTTGTCTGTTTAATAATTACAGTTGGCTATTTTAGGGTACTGTCTTTATCAAATTTGATTGCAACCATAATTCATAATCTAGTCATACTGCTTATAAGAATATGTTTATATCCAGTTATAAGAGACTGAACAACTATATTCATGTATATGTGTTCTAATCAATTTCTGCATATTTACTCAATTAAATGCAGAAATTATTGCATTTGATATATTGCACGAAAACTGTCAATTATTGATAGTATTGAAATAAAAACACTATCGATTGCAAGTATTGAGTATATTGAGACAAAAGTGTTGATAGTCAATAGTATTGATATATATCACCCATTATGATGGAACAGATATATACTGTGTAAATAAATATTGGCTATAAATAATAGTTTTTGTACAAAAAAAGTTGTTAAAATATTATATTTGCTTGTATATATTGCTTGGCATAAAAGTGATATAATTTTCTTCCTTATATATCAATAAAATTATGTAGATATTTATTAAATTAAATATTAATAAAAATATTGAAATTTATTTATCAGATATGATAGACATAACTTGTAATTAATAATAAATATGAAATTACTTCTCATAGTTTATTTGATTGAACATTTAAATTTACACTTCTGAATAGGTTAAATGTTATGCATTATTTTGTAACTTTGTTTTGAAAGAACATAAAGACAATTTTGTCAAAAACAAATGAATACCATTTGAGAATTTGAGTATAAAAAGTTTTATAAAATATTGATTATAATTTTATTCATGTTTTTTAGCTGCAAATGCTGGGCTATGACATCTCATGGGCAGCTTTTAATATTATAGAAGTGATGAGTTCAACAAAATTTACATTTAAGGTAAGAATGTTTTTAGTATGAATTTTAATTTTTTAAAGTATATTAAACATTGATGTAAATATATTATGAAATAAATTTTTATGAGCAAATAAACAAAAAATGTAAAATTTTATAAATCATATATGATTATGTTGTTTGTTATATAATTTGTATAAAATAGTTTATTCTAAAAAATATGTTAAAAATGATAATTTCTCTCAATATAATATTTTATTATATTTTATTGTGCAGAATTTAGAATAATTTATTGGTTAAAAGATGAATTAAATAAAAGATATATTTACAATATATTCATAAAGAATAGGTTATAGTACTTATTATGTAATTTTCAGTATATATATATATTTTTTCTCTATAAATAGTTTGGTAATAGTTTAAACTTAGTGAACAAACTCCTCTTTAAATTGAAACTAGTTTTAATTGTCTATAATTATTTAGATATGTAGAAACTATCATTTTGTTGTCAATATCTATAATATGCAATCTCTAAAACTTACGGATTTAAACAAATTCCTTGAAAACCTGGATGTTTAGTTATGCATTAGTTGCTTTATTTTTTTATTGGTAACTTTGTTTTTGATAGTAATTAAATTTGTAAATAATTCACAATGAAATACACTAATGTCAATATACTGTATATACTAAACTTCTTGAAAATTTCTATTTATTCTTTCTTTAGCTCATTAGACATTTTCAGTAAATAATAAATGATTAGAATGTAACCTTTATAATAAATTAACATCATCAAAATACAGGAAAATCTCTAATTTAAACAGACTTTGTTGGAAATATGAAAGTGTTAATTTATAATGTTATACACACACTTTTGTTGAATCCTAATATTTAAAAAAATTAGAAGTATAAAAAAAAACAAAACAGTTATGTTTAATATGAAATTTCTACAAAATGGTATTTTGCAATTCCCCCAAATAAAATGCTTTAAAAATAAAATATTTTTGATTACTGTAATTTCTTACATACTGTATAACTATGTATAATATGATTTGTGTTTTAAAGTCAATTTGAAAGCAGATACTAGTTATGCATTCTAGCAGTTTTTGCAGGTTATACACAGAATATTATTGTAATTACCAAAAGCAACTGAAAACATAAGTTATTGTTCCTGGCTGATTAAGGTATTGATTATTAACCTGTCTGCAGACCCCAGGATCTACAAGACTTACTCAGGAGATCCTCAAATACTGCATGATTTTTTTTGCCAGTTTTACAAAAATTAATCCAACAAGAAATAAATAAACAAACAAACAACACATCCATGATTTGAATGTATAAAAGATTTTTCAATACTAGTTTATTTTAAAAGTAAATATAGAAATATTCTTATTTTGAAAAATGTTTAATCAAAACTTGAAATTAACTTGTCTGGTATTCAAGTTTTTCAAGTTTGATGCTAGATGCAGTGCTAATTTTCATGTTAATTTAAAAATAAGTAAAATTGGTGTTGAAACTCATTAAGGCTAGTATTTTTCACAAATTATTTTCACATTACCAATAATACCAAACTTTTAAAATGAAATACAGGTAGCCCTCGTTTTACGCCGGCTCAATTTACGCTGATTCACAATAACGCTGCTATGCAATTCACCGTTTCTTGGTGTAATTCCCCGATTTTCTCTATGCCAGACTGATTTTCATTTCAATGTTGACGTATTTACCAAGCCATGACATTGTACAGTACATTCATTAAAACAAAGATTTTTATTGAATATATTTAGTTTTTCTTTTTAATATTATTGGGTATGTATACATTTGCATTAAATTAATATTAAAACACTAAATGTTTAGGTACCCACAAGTCACGTTATCAAACTTAATAGTGCAATAAATGGTGTCCGAATCCATAGCGCCAATGAATGTATCCCTTATCAGTTCTATCAGGAAAACACCTTACGATGCAGTAGCACTTCCAGCAATCACAAACTACCGTTAGTGAGACAAATGTACTTCTTGTTGGCCAGACGATACTTTTTTATTAGCCAGATGATATCTACTCTCCTTAGCTGCCTTGAATTTTCCCGCTCAAACTGACCTTATACATGCGCCACGGTGACCGGTGGTCGACCAATCAGTGTCTCTGCTCGCCTGTAGCTCTACGTTGGGTTAAAGTATTCTTTCAACTATGGAAAGTTTGATGGATGAACTCTGTGAGTTAGACAAAAATTGGGAGTGAAGTGCAAATGTAAAAAGAAGCATCATCGCATCCATTCGACCATATTCTGAAATTCTCAATGAAAGAAAACAAAAATGTAAACAATTAAAGATGGATACTTTTTCCGAAAAATGTAAGAGATCCGAAACTAAAATTTTTAATTAAAAAATTTCACTTTATTTTATGATAAAATACATTTTAAAAATTAAAAATTTATATGTATTTTATATTACATTGTATTAATAAACAAGATTATTTGCTTATTTTTCACTTATGTAGAACCTAACCCTATACCTCACTGTAAATATTGGTTTGTTTTATACCAATTCGATTTATGCTGGCTTTTGTAGGAACAGAACTGCAGCGTAAACCGAGGGCTACCTGTATTTAATTTAATTAAGTGCTTTCACCTGTTTGAAATTTTGGAGGTGGCATACAGCAAAGCCTGTTATTTTTAATTAGAACAGTTTCTGCCAATAGGATGATTGGTTGGAAGGTGTACATACATTGTTACACTGTTTCAATCTGGTATAAAACTTTCAGAAACTGTTAATCTAACCAATATAGTACTTAACCTCTGCTTTTATCTCTCCCTTATGTTTGCTGAAATACTTAGGGACCTAGTAGTGGCTCCAATGTAAACTATGGTATGATGATATATTTTGCTGAGAAGTATGCTATAAACACCAGACTTTTCCATTACTGCCGTCATTAGATAGAAGCCTTCATAGTGATAGTGATGGAGAAACAGGTAGTTTTAAATGATGGTAAAGTAGAATTTTAGCAATACATGAAAGTGCCTCTATATGGAAGAGATACAGAGACAAACCTTACTTGTGAACACAAAGGGAACTTAGAACTTTCGCATGCAGGAATTTATTATACACACCAGGGTGTGTATAATAAATTCAACTTACTCAAGCCTTTAACTGGTGTGAAAAGGTAAAATTTGAAGCAACAAACATTTTCTGAATACCTTCCATGTTCTTCATCAGGTAATCTAGCTGGATTCTTTATTCTGGAACACTGTCACAAAATTTTAAAATAAATTGAACGATGAGAGTTCGATTGTCCATTATCCATTGTGCACGTGTTATACATGTTGTGTTCCCCGCTGTTTAGAATCACATTTATTCTTCTCATACGCATGTATTTTCTTATACGATGCAATATTCTTACGTTTGACATTACATGTCCCTGTGCATCATCCAATATTAAATAAATCCTTAAGAATCATTATGCAATAAGGCCTGCCAAACCAACTTAGTAACTAATTCCATTCATTAGCAACTGATTAGGAGATATTTGATTAAGTGCATTGTTTTAAGATTTAAAAAGTAAAGAAAATTCAATGTTATTTTTATGTGTGTTTCTTTACAGAGCCATATTAATTATAATTATATTGACAGATTTTCAGACATAAAATCTTTAGAATTTTTATCACTTTTAGATGTTAATAATTTTAAATATTATGAAAAACAATTTTCCCAAGTGAGTTTTAATTCTTTAAATTAAGTTAGTTGTATGGAGAATTTTTTTGATTTATCTAAATTATATAGTGAATTGCAATATTTATATTCATGTCCAGACTATATTGGCAAGTCACTCTTAGACATAAGAAATATTATAATTAATGATAATCTGAACAAAGATGTATTAAAAGAATTATATGATTTAATATCATTAATTTTTACGATATCATCTACCAGTGCAGTTTTTCATCCATGAAGGGAATTGATACATTGGCAAGGAATACTCAGTCGGAGGAAAGATTGTCGTCATTAGCATGGCTTTCAATAGAAAAAGAGCTTTTAAATACTTTGATGGAATTGACAAACAGCGACTTTTATGATAAAGTAATTAATGACTTTGTGGAAAAAATTGCCAAATAGAGTTAGTTTATAAAAAAATAATAAAAACAAGGTCTTATATACAGTAATACCTTTGACTTATGCTACCCTGACTTACACAAACCCGGAGTTACACGATTTTCAAATCTCGTTGATTCATCTTTTGTTTGAGTGCCAGGCAACTCTTTATTACTCACTTCCCCCACACTATTGTTCAGCTTACATGTTCGGACGTGTCACGCAGAATCGACACATAGCTACAATTTATTTTGTGCTATTTATGGAAACACTGCTTCCCTATCATCAAATGTTACGGCACGTCACTGATCTCAAGTGGGGTCACTTAATGAAAACTTTACTTGTAGGAATTTTTATAAAACATATGTCATAAAAAAATGCATATAAAAACAAATATTATTATTATTATTATTATTCATAAAATATTACTTTCCTTTACAGATTTTTTAAGAAATTACCCTACCCTTAAAATAAGGTTTTTGCTTTTTTTTAAATACCAGGAAAGTCCTGCAAGAGTCCCTGCCAACTTTTTCTGATAATTTTGGAAACTGTATAAAAAAGTTTTTTTATATAATAAAATTTTGTTTTTTTTAGATTTGAGAATTCTGAGTTAAAAAGTGTGCTTTCTATTTAAAAAAAAAAATGTTTATTTTTAGAGTTCAAATTCATAATTTTAAAATTTTATTATGTGTTTTTGAGGTATCTTATATTGTCTATGAAATTATACTCAATTCATATATTTTACAGAGTTAGACTCAGTTTTGAATATAAAATAGATATGAAAATAATTTTATATAAATTGAGAGAACAAGTCAATCTGGAATTTATTAAAATAGTTTGTTCTGTTGCTTTAGAAGTCTTCACTGAAAATTATGTAATAAATTTATTAATTTATAGTCTTAAAATAGTCTACAAAAATTTGATATTTGATTGTTAAAAGTTTAAATATAAATTAATATAATTTTTATATATGAAGTAATCAATTATGTATTTTATTTTTATTTTTAATGTAGAGAGTTGGTTATCTTGCTGCTTCTCAGAGTTTCTATGAAGAGACTGATGTTCTTATGTTAACTACAAATATGATAAGAAAAGTATGATTGTAATAATTAAAATAGACATCTTAATAACATTAATTATAAATGTAAAATAAAATGTTTGTATACAATAATAAATATATATTATATAAGATTTATTTATTATTATATACCATGTGTGTGTGGGTGTGTGTACAGTGGGTGATCACATAATCCGTTCCAAGACTTTGTTCGCTATTCAAATTGTTCGTTAACTGATTATCGATTTACTGTAGGTTTTTTTGGGAATTTGATTAATTCATTCTGGAGACCCCAAAAAATAAAAAATATACATTTTCTTACTACGTTTATTTATATGTAATAATAAAAATACATATATACACAATCTTGCATTTTTATTAGTCATGTTTTTTCCATTTGTGAGGGTTAAAGAATCTGTCTAATGTTGATTGCTTTTTTCTCTTCTTTAGGATTTTTCAGAAATAATTAATAGCAATGTAATTGTAGAGATCCCTAAGCCTATTAACCTCAACCTGGTTTGGATACCATTCTAAGACTATTGTTCTGACATCCTCCCGCTTCTTCAAAAGATGTTTAATAGCAGATATTGGCATTAATTTTCTTTTTCAGAAGAAAACATATCGCCGAATTTCTAAGTGTTATTCATTCACGAGTTCTTGGCATTCTTTTGTCATCAGATTCGTTTCAGGTTCTATTATAAGCTCTTCAATGTTCTTTATTTCTTGATGTGATTTTTGTTACTCCTTTAGCTGCTTGAGTCTTCTTGATTATACAGTATCTTTCCTAAACAAGATTGAACTGCGGCCTACTGTAGACCTGTTCAAGCCATACTGCCCAACAATGTCAGACATCTTCTGCCCACTCTCTCTACCTTTGCTATTATACTCTCACCTTTCAAAAATAAAAACCGATGCCAAACGTAACGAGTGCCTGCCTGACAATCTCACAAATACTATAAAAGAATTATTTCTCTCAGAAAAATAAAAGGCTGGAATTACAAGGGAGAGTTTCAAATTTTTAAAACGTCAGTACGTAAGTATACAGGTTATATCAGGATGACGTTTTAAATATTTGAGGGATTGTAGAGGATGAAATTTTGAATATTTTGATATAAGGAACCCATAGCTGGAAATGTGATATAAAGTTTTTACAGCACTTTGCACTTTGCAGTCAGTATGCTGAATGAAACAGCAGAATGCATTATTCATGACAAGTTATATTGACAAAACAGTAGAGTACAATCAAACTGTACATCGAATCAGTGGCTGCACTACTTTAGAGTAAATGTTCAATGTGATGACTACCAACTTCGTTATATAATGTGCAACGAACAATGAACCATGTTTTGTCCGATCCTCTGTAAGATGCCACGCTCTCCTCTGATGGTATTAAATGCTGTAAAGATGCACTCCGTAAGCTCATGAACTGTTCCTACGGGTGTTGCATACACAAGGGACTCATGTTGACTAGTTGTGTTTACAGCACAGCGCCAGTGGATGCAAGGGGTGACATGAAGGACGACAAGCACTAAGTACACAACGTCATGTACACAGGCTCACTTAGACCACTGTAGTTGTGTGTAGTCTTCCATCTGTAGTAATAATATGACATCAATGGACAGAAGAGTAGCTACCAAAGTGAAGGGCGGTCAAGCACTTCCTACCACTGTAGACACTTTAGTTCAAATTTCCGGCTATAGGTTCCTTATATCAAAACGTTCAAAATTTCATCCTCTACAATCCCCCAAATTTTTAAAACATCATTCTGATACACCCTGTTTATTGGGTTGAGTGTCGATGTTGATGTCTCCTGTGCTCCAAAAAGTTATGAATTGTTGCCTGAAGACAAGGGAAGACCAATCGGTATTCATTATTTTACGTCGCTTCTTCTTGTGTTTGTTCTGTGAGGTGTTCATTGTTTGAACATATAAAAATCTTTCACAAAAGTGTTCGTTATCTGATCACCCATGTGTGTGTGTGTGTGTGTGTGTAAATATCAACCTATACTTTAAAATTATTTGCATTTTAAGTTTTAATTGGTTTGACTTATTTGAATAGTATTAATTATTTAAAATATTTCTTTTAATGTAGTTTCTTGACACTGGTTGGTTGAAATAATATAAATTTATCATTATTAGCTAAGTTTGAAATGATAATTATTTGTAAGCACTCCAAAATAGCTCATGTAAAAATAAAAAACTGACTTTCATTGTTCAAAGTCAATAAAATAAAACAAGCCTGATATTATTAAAATATCAGGCTTTGGAATATTCATATATGTGAAATAAAACAACTTAATAGATTGTTCAAGAACTTTATTTTAAAACTTCCCATTGGTAAACTTTTTAAACAAGTCTGTATGATTTCTGATGAAATTGTAACTGTAATAAATTTTCAATTACAATTTCATCAGAGATTAATTGAAATTGCATAAAAAACGTTTACAAATGGAATAATTTTTTTCTATTTACATTCTTTTAGACAGTAAATTTAAAAATTAAGTAACCTCAGATTAACTTTTTATTCATATTATTGAAGTCCAAGTATGGTTATGTATAATTATAATGATGATGCTTGCAAAAATTTAATTTAATTTATTTATTAACAACAATTAAGGAAAAAAATCACATTAAATTACTTTTTATTTTAAATTCCAAATCTCAACCACAATTTCTTCAAAGGGATAATTTTTATTGTTAATTGTTAGCATAAATTTTATTTTCTTTAGGATCTAAACAGTCAAAACATGTATGATGCAGGAACTGCTATGAGTGGTTTATCTTGTTTTGTAACTCCAGATTTAGCCAGAGATTTAGCAAACGATGTCATGACATTGGTAAGTATTTTGATTTTTATATTATTTAAATCCATAAATATAAAAATTTAGTAATTTATAAATTACTTAAATATTTTACTTTTAACTTTTTAATAATTTTTAAAATTATAACTGATTTTGAACTTATTGTAATGCAATATAAACGAAATTCATGACTTTTTAATTAGACAATAATTTTTTGATGGAGTTTATTAAATTTTAATATCTTACATTTTAATATTTTATTTCAAAACTTTTATTTTATAATTAAATGAATTTAATACTTTTAATTGTTTTTAAACAAGAAATTTGCCATTTTTTTTAACTTTTAACATTTTTTAGGAGAATGTTATATAACATTTATTAACACTGTTATAACATTTATAACATTGTTTTATGATATGAGAAATAATTTTTTATTATTTTGTTTTGAAAATACTTAATTAATCTCTGTAAAATTCCTTCTGTTACACTAATGAAATATAATTTCATATTAATTGATTTCTGTTTTATTTATTATTGAAAGAATATTTTATGAAAAAATGTTATAAAGTTGAAAACATTTTTGATATATCATATTGCTGGAATACATTCTGATATTTCTTGATTAAATTTTTATCTTAAGCCAATGTTTTATATTTTTTTAAACTAGCTTACATCAACCAAGCCCTATTTGAGAAAAAAAGCAGTTCTGTTAATGTACAAGATATTTCTTCAGTTTCCTGAAGCTCTACGGCCTGCATTTCCGCGTTTAAAAGAAAAGCTTGAAGATCCTGATCCAGGTAAATGAGTATTTTGAATTTATTTTTATGTCAGCTATAAAACAAATTTGCCAAAGTCGTCAAAATATATAATTTTAAATAGGGTTTGCGTCTCAGCTAATATTCGCTTTCCAGGACTTGAGACTTTTATTTAGTCCCAGGAATTCCTAGGACTTAAAAAAAATTCAAACCATGAAAATTATTTTTTAATTACATTTCAATACATTATATTACCATTTTAATATATATTTTGCAAAAGTATGCAGGTTTTCAATTAAAATAAAAAGTTTTGTTTTAATTTTTTTAAACTACAATGCATGCAAAGTAAAATTTTAAGCATATAAAAATATAACTTTAATAAGCTGATTTATAAAATACAGTTACAGATCAATTTGGCATACCATTCACAATGAATGAATTGATAATAGGCATTAATACACTCAGAAATGGGAAAGCAGCTAGCTGATTGGATGATATCCGTACCAAAAAATAAAATATTTTGGCCCAGAAACACAAAAATAGCTCCTCAAACCATAAAATAACCAAGATAGGCTACAAAGCACATGTGATTGTCATCTTAAAACTCAAGTAAGAGCTCACCAGCCAAAAAACTTTAAACTGATCTCCCTTATTTGTCATCTATATAAATTGTATGAATGACTAATTGTAAATTGCTCAACAAAAAAATTAGTGAAACAAAAGCTCATTCCCTAACAATCAGGTTTTCAACCAGGGAAATCATATACTGGACAGATCCTTAATCTTACTCAACATATTGAAGAGTGTTATGAGAGAGGGCTGATAACTGGAGTTGCATATGGCACAGTTAACCATCATATTTTACTAAAGAAGATTTATGAAATGACAAGGAATTAAAACTTGATAAACATTATAAGATCATTATGAACAAATAGGAGATTCTTTGCTGAACTATGTAAGAAAAAAGTAGGTGTTAAATTTCAAAGAATGGACTTTTACAAGTGTTCTTGTTTCATCACTGTTCAATGTATACACTAATGATTAATAACACCTAATACAAACGGATACATGTGTGTAGATAATCTTGAAATTGCAACCCAAAAGAGAACATTTAAAGATATTGAAGAGATATTAGAACACAGAACATTAACATCAGAACTAAACAATCTAACTGAATTTAAGTAAAAAATCAATTTAAAAAAAATCCTGATAAAACACAAGTATGTGCTTTCCATTCATAAAAATGAGAGGCAAAGAGGGAATTAATGATAACTTGGAATGGAACTAAGCTACAACATATAAATAACCCTGTTTATCTTGAGGTGACTCTAGCTAGGAACTTTCATTTAATGAACAAGTGAAGAAAACTAAACAAAAAGTTAGCACACACAACAAAATCCTTTGCTGGCAGGGTTAAAGTAGGGAGCCTGTCCCCAACATTAAGAGAAGCTGGACTAGCATTAAGCTACTCTGCTGCTAAATATGTTTGCTCAATTTTTAACCAACCAACCTATGTCAAACATATTGACAAAGTTCTGAATGAAAGCTGCCATTGTATAATAGATTGCCTGAAACCAAGACTAACAGAAGTACATTATTGCTGGTATTGCTCAACTCAACATTCAAAAAGTAATCATCATAAACAGTGAACAGATAAAACAACTATATAATGCCATGCATTCCCTTTACGATCATATTGCTCCAAACAACAGCTTAAATTAGACGTTATATAAAAACTGCAACTATGCTTGCTCAATTACAAGGAAAGACAAACCTTGTCCTCTGATGTGAACAATCAAAAGATAAGACTGCATAAATATCTGACCCCAAAGAACAACTACTGCTTAGTTATGATACAGACTGGACTGCCTGGCAAATTCGAAACTGTTTTTGCACTGGAGTTGGAAGATCAAAAAGTAAATTTAAAAAAACAGAGATATATCACTGATTCTGATTCATATGATTGTGGAGTATGCCAAACCATGGATCACCTAAGAATATGTTGAAACCTATGCTTTGATTGCCTGAAATCTCACTTGACTGAGGCAACAGACAACAATATTTTGCTATACAGAGTGTACAATATTGGAAATAAATCTAATTCTTGGTGAATGGACATAAAAAGAAGAAAAATCATTTAAAACAAAATATTTATGGAAATTAGTATAAATCAAATGTAAATAAAATGTTTATGTTTAACTAGTGGCAGATCCAGGAAAAAACTGACAGAAGGGACATAATATAAATAATTATTTTACCATTTTCCTTTTCTGCCTAAGCAAAGGAAGATGGTTTCTTTGCTGTTTATATACAGTGGTACCTTATGCTTTAAATTTATTTCATTCCAGGGAGATGTTTGATGTCTAAATCAGTTTTTGTCATTAGAAATAATGGAAAATGAATTAACCCAATACAACAAATGCACATAATTTAAAGCAAGAATAACACAATTATATGTCCTGATAATAAATTAAACATGAAAACAATAAATAAAATATGTAAATACCATATAATAAAATGAAAATTACAATTACTAGTTGCACACGTTGACTTTGCATTTTAAACATGGCCGCTAGATATGCCACATGTATACCACTTTTGTGATAAGTTCTTTTTCATCTGTCATCAGCCTTCCTCTTATTAGACTTTCTTGCTTCTATACACTTCTCTGATGCCATGGTTATATTGGTATGAACAAAGTTTTGTGTGTGTTAACAGGTCTCATTATTTAACATAGATATGTGATTTAATTACAACAGTTGTAAAATCTAACACATTATTGTTAATTTGAGATTGTATTCTTTGTTTAGAAGCTTAATTTACTCTTCCAGTACAGTTTTTCACTGCTTGTGTAGTTTAAACTTTAAAGCATCATTCAAACTCTGGAGTGTTCAAAGTATGAGATATCACTATATCTCCACATGGACTAATTAGTAATTAGTAATTACTAATTTAAAAAAAAAATTATGTTAAAAAAGTGTTTGAAATAAAGTTATATAAAAGTATTTGTAAGCATATTAAATGATTGGTTTATGTTTTCAAAAAAATAAAAATAAATAAGTAAATAAATTATAGGGATATATGCTCGGTGTCCATACCCTAAATTTATGCCTGCATTTTACTAGCAAAAGAGCACTAAGAATGTTTCTTGCTGATAAGGATAATTATTTAAATAAACTGATTCAGAGATGGCAAGTATAATTGAGGTGGAGCATTAGTGAAGTCTCTTCTATGAGGCTTCACTAATGCAGTCTTTACCTAACATTCATAGTAAAACCTTGCTGAAACCTTTGTCATCAATATTGTCTTAAGACACTCTACATCTATTCAACTTCTTATGGATCATGCTCTAAATCTGATATCTAAAATGTTCAAGGAGGTATGCGAACTACTCCACATTAAGAGACTCCTTATGACAGCATTTCACCCTGCATGTAATGGAATAGTCAAAAGATTTAATGAAACCTTCATTGACCTTATACCTCACTATGTTGCTAACGACTGGGATGAATGGATCCCCTACGCACTACTTATATTTGCTATTTGTATCTGACTTACGAACATAATGACAAAGGGAGTTCTAGACAAAGAGAGTGTGAGCAACTGAATACAAAATGAAATTTTTATTATTTGTATGTTGATATCGTCTGCTTTTTAAATATCATATTCATCAACATATGCGCAAACAGAAAAAATCAAAACTTTGTTTGCACAGAACTTGGACAGACTGTATATGAATGAGGAAGAATACTCATATTTTAACCATCCTCAGGTACTCTTGGGGTTTATTTGATCCAAGTCCTCTTCAGTTCATGTGTTTTTTGGAAACTATCACAATTAGTGACCTCCCCTGCCACGTATTTTCTCATAAGTTATTCCTGAATATGTGACACATGTTTGATAGTTTCAAAGTCATTCCGCTTATTTTTTTAATATGTGTTTTTGAGCTGAAGTTTATGAATATTTTACCTTATTAAATTATTATAGACTTATTGTAATGTTTTAATCATGTAATAGTAAAACCTATTTCGAAATTAATAAGTTTGAAATCCAGAAACAGATTTCTTTTTCTATATTCTTGTAAAATAATATCTTTAAAGTCAAAATGAGAAAATTTTATAGTAAAGAATTTATTGTAAAGATTGTATGATAAAATAAAAATTTTTAAAATTTTTTCTTAAATAGTAGTAATAAGAATTTTTAGTCTGTATTTTAAATATCTTTACTATAAATAATTTGAATAATGTTAAACTAAGGTTATGATAAATACATTTCAATTATCTTACAGGGGTACAATCAGCTGCAGTTAATGTAATTTGTGAACTTGCAAGAAAGAATCCAAAAAATTATCTATCACTTGCTCCTGTATTCTTTAAATTAATGACAAGCTCAACAAATAATTGGATGCTTATAAAAATAATAAAATTGGTGAGATTTTTATAAATGTATATGAAATTTTGTTAAAAGTATAACATTATTGAAATATACATAATGCAGTCTTTAATATTTTATCTCAAAAAATTGGTTATTAAAGATTTTAAAATTAATTAATTAATTGTAAACTGTGGAAATTGAACATAAAAATATTAATTATAATTAAATTATAAATTAGTGTATTTTTCCCTTTAGCATATTTTTTTTACTGAATGATGATTTGCAAGTATTATGATTATCTCATGAGATGTCACATCCTGGAAAAATTTATAAATGTTATTAAAATTAATGGTTAATCTTATTATCTTAAATTATAAAACTGATATTTAGGACAGAGTTAAACAATTCATGATAAAAAATTAAACTAAATTAATAGATATTATAGATACCAGCTTATTTCTTAAATGTCTTCAGTTTAGTTAAAATTACAGGCCAAATTCTGATGTAATGAATTTCACAAAAATAATTTTAAGAATAATAAATAGTTTTTTTTTTGTTTTAAAAAATATACTTAAAATATATTAACTCCTTCTCAGCCACTGTCACATTCAATATGTATATTCAATGATTGCTTTTTTTGGCTTCGGTATATGTCATATGTTCTATGTGAAAAATGCTTTAGAAGTTTTTATTTTAATGTCTTTGGTGTGTTTGCTGCTGTTGTGTGTTTATTTCACCATTTCTTTAATATATTGCATTATATTGCAGAAATTGCTTACCTGTTTTTTATGGGAAAATTTAATTTTATTTTGGAATCTGAAAGCATTTCTGTAACTTGTTTCTGATAGTTTTTCTTTTAAACAAATAAATAAAATTATTTTATATATAAATAATATTAATACTTATTAAATAATTAATAAATAAATAAAATTATTAATAAAATAAANAATAAAAATTCAGTATAATGAACATTTATCACTGATAAAAATGAATTCCATTTGTGTATGAAAACATTATTTTAAATTTATGTTTGCTATAAATAGATATTGGATTGGCTAAATATATTGGTTAAATTTAATAATTTTTGTGCTCTGAAAGCTTTTTGAATTATGCTTGGATTTTGCCTAAAGTTCAGCACAGAAAGTTGATTGTTTAATTTGATCTTCAATACTTACAGCAAAATTCCTAGTTTACAGCTTGTTAAGAAGCATGCATAACAATTCATTGATTAGATGAAAAGTGTTTTCATCTCAATGAAATTATAATTAAAACACTTTTTTTTTGTTTGAAAAAAAAATTTCTGGACTACTCTGACTAAATTTTATCTTTTCAATAATAAAGATGAAATTAAACAATCAAAGTGCAAAAAATCCTAAATTCTAATTCAATCAGGTATATTAAATATTAAATAAAAATTGTTTTCTGTGAAACTCTGTATTGTCTGTTAAGCCAGTATAATAATTCCTGATAATAGTGAATTCTTTGTTTATAGACGAAAATTTATAATTCAGCACAGAAAGTTTTTACAAACAAATAAGTAATGAAATGCAGGTTATTGAAAAGACAAAATTTAGTCAGTAGTCCAGAAATTTTTTTGTCAAACAAAAAAAAGTGTTTTAATTATAATTTCATTGAGATGAAAACACTTTTCATCTAATCAATGAATTGTTATGCATGCTTCTTAACAAGTTGTAAACTAGGAATTTTGCTGTAAGTATTGAAGATCAAATTAAACAATCAAAGTGCAAAAAATCCTAAATTCTAATTCAATCATCTCATAACGCACCAAGCATATTGAGGTGGAAAACTTTATCATGCAGAAATTTAGTGAAAGAGAAATGCACTGTGTTTTGAATATATGACATTTAAAAATAATATGGCAGATATGATGTTGATAGCATCATTCTGCCCTGGATATTTTTTCTTAAAAGGCTTGTTTATTATTTTTTAAATTTATTTCAGCAATGATGTATTAATTTGTATGCTAGGATAATTTTGTTTTAGTCTGCTATATTATTTAAACTACTCATTTTATTTTATCACATCTTTTTGAGTAATTTAATTTTCAAAAGATGATTGTGTTGAAGATGTAAAGCCAATACCAGACATTTAAATTTCGTATTAAGCTGTTCAAAAATGCTGCATAGTGTTTTAATAGATTTCCTTGCTGATTTCATTTACCTCCATAATATATTGTTTTGTTAATTTTTTAAATATAAAATTTTGCCTTACTGTCTTATGATTTTTAATTTTTTTTATTCTACATTAAATCAAAGAATATTATTATTTTTGATTATCAGACAAATAATTTCTTGAAACTTTAATAACTATTATTTAATTTGCTCATTGTACAAAAAATGCTGTACACAGGATTCTGCATATAGTATTTTGTTGATAATGAGTTAATAGCAAATTAATGCAATTTTTATTGAAGACATTTTACCTTTTATCTAAATATATAAAATTACATGGACTGACTGACTGACTGATTCATCATTGCCCAGAGCAAACTGCTGAACCTTAAGAGGTGAAATTTGGTACACAGTTAGGGTATGTCATGAAAATGAGAAGGGATTTTTGAAATTCCTCCGCAGGGGAGAGGGAGAGGATTAAGGCTTAACCTGGAGAACAGCTTCTACTGTATTATTTTAGATGTGATTTTTTGATTTTAACTACGTTTTAGTAGGGTATGTAATGAGAGTGCACACTAAGAAGAGATATGATTATAACATGTAAGTGTTATAATCATATAATAAACATTGGCGTGAAGTGACATTGTATTATATCAAGAAGAGATAAGACATTTTTATAAAAAAAAAAATTAGTATCAAAACTCACCACTGTGGCACTTTTGGTTCTACAGGCAACAAATATTTTATTTGTACAATATATAGATCATGCTATATAGATACTTCAGTTGAACAGAGAATACTGCTTAGTATGGTTGTGATTCTAAAGGTGTAAATGTGGATGAGCAGTGTGTTTAATGGTTGACTGTAATTGATCCTCTGTGATACTTCTTACATACAGTATGATACTGTCTTTCAAGGCTGCCAAATTTTCAGTACATCTTCAAATAACTGCTCTTTAAATATCATCACAGATGAAATTGCTTTTTGTTGTCTGCAGTTCCAAAAGTTCCATAATAAAAAGTTTTGGTACTAATTTTTTATGAAAATGCTTTTGCATTTTTGAAATGTTGCCATACCAAATTTGATTGCTTTTGCATGGCCAAATCTCTCTCTAGACATTGAATACTGGTATTTTAATTAAGATCATCAGTATATGCTAGTATATCATCTGAATTTAATTTTCTTTTAGTATAATAAGCATGTTAATTTTCAACTTTGTATACCTTAAGCAATCAGAGTTTAATAGCTTAGTTTAAAAGAATATTAGTAGTTTGTGTTTATTTTTTACTCATGATGATGATTACTATTGTTAACTAATAAGTTAAAAAAATTCTTTGAAAAATAGTTTGAAAATGAACTAAACAACAGGGAAGCTAGTATAATTCATGCTAACAGACCATGGAGTCAGGACAATTCAAACAAGAATGTTCTACATGTATCTTTTTAGCACATTTGTTCCATCCAAAATAAAAAGAACTANGAAATATAATTTCATATTAATTGATTTCTGTTTTATTTATTATTGAAAGAATATTTTATGAAAAAATGTTATAAAGTTGAAAACATTTTTGATATATCATATTGCTGGAATACATTCTGATATTTCTTGATTAAATTTTTATCTTAAGCCAATGTTTTATATTTTTTTAAACTAGCTTACATCAACCAAGCCCTATTTGAGAAAAAAAGCAGTTCTGTTAATGTACAAGATATTTCTTCAGTTTCCTGAAGCTCTACGGCCTGCATTTCCGCGTTTAAAAGAAAAGCTTGAAGATCCTGATCCAGGTAAATGAGTATTTTGAATTTATTTTTATGTCAGCTATAAAACAAATTTGCCAAAGTCGTCAAAATATATAATTTTAAATAGGGTTTGCGTCTCAGCTAATATTCGCTTTCCAGGACTTGAGACTTTTATTTAGTCCCAGGAATTCCTAGGACTTAAAAAAAATTCAAACCATGAAAATTATTTTTTAATTACATTTCAATACATTATATTACCATTTTAATATATATTTTTTTCATATTTTATAAAAGTTTAATGTGTTTGCCATTTGTCCTGTGAATATCAAAATAATAATTGATTTCATATTACATAATCTGTAGAAATAAATGATTAGTTTTGATATTTGCTACCTGCAAACAGTTTTTCAAGTCATTCAGTGCTGTTAGGTTTTAGCAGATAGTAAACTTGATGATTTTTTTACAAAACTATCTGGAAAAGGCTTATATAATTTAATGTATAAATATTACTTTGGCTCATACCCTTCCGTCTTAAATCAAGTTATAATAATTTGTGGGAACTCTGTCTTTGACTCCCTTCAGTGTTTCATCCTTGGTATCTACATCTGCATTATAATTAATAATATGTTTTTGTAAACATTAGTTTCATGTGTATTGATTAAATTACTGTAAATAATAATAAAAAATTATTAAACTGTTATCAATGGTAAAACATAAGAAAATGTAATTTAAAATAATCTTAAGTAAATTAAATAAACATTTTTTAAAATGTTTATTTAATTTACTTTATATTAAATCTATTTTTTAAAATAGATGGAGCTAAAATTAATCTAATTACTTGGATGCAGTGACATTCTATGAGGCATTGAAGATCAAACTGACACTACTAAGTCTTAAAAAATTTTTTTTATATGCTATTTAACATCTTGTTTTAACTAATAGTTTGTTTTCTGTAAGAAGTCTGCTTCTACTCAAACATGTAATGTCATTTAAACTTGCACCAAAAGCCTGAACTATTGATCAAAATAAACACACCAGTCATATGTTGGTGTACTTCTTGTTTTGATTTTTTTTCATTTAATGCAGTTAGACCAATGCAGTTTTATAATATAGATTGTCCTTTTTTAAAAAAATTGTTTATATTTGAGTAATTAAAGCCTTAAACATAACTCTAGCATATCA